AGCAACCCACCCGCCCATTCAAGTACAGAGCCTCTAGTTAATGGGGATACGGGTCCTGTCCCCAGGAGCCCCCACTTCGCCCCAGACCAGAGGAATGGACCGGTGTGGGTGGCTCCGCTACCATGAAACGCTTTTACCAGCAGGTATCTCGAGGACTCAAGGTGCAGCGAGGAGCGAAGCAATGCTTTACATGTGTGAACATCCCACTCTGACTTTCAAAAGGAGCTTCGGCAGAAGTCTGCTAAAAGCTTGATGGCAACCTCCCTGAAGCTCTACCTGAAGATGATCATAAGGGCATACAGATGAAGACAAGGATTAGGCTTGTGATGGTGACGATAAAAGTTGCTAAAGTTACGATGTAGGCAGGTGATAATGATAATCATGGACTCTCCCTGTTCACGACCGCTTTCTGCCTTGTTTTGCCTGTGTGTTGGATGTTCTCTGCTGCTATGCAACTTCCCCATGACGCTAAGTTGGCAGTGTCAAAACTGTGTATCCGGCTTCCGCCCTGGTGTTTCCACCACCTTGCTGCTGTTCCTTGGATATCCCCACCATGGCAGTCTTGCAGCCGGCATCTCCCGCGCTTTTGACCACGGTACTCAAGCATTTAGGCTGTTCAGGTGCGGGCTGCAGGAGCACAATCTCTTGCCTTGCTTCCAGGCAGAAGGCCAACAGCTTCCTGGAGCACAGCCTCGCAATGTGGCAAATTGCGCCAGAGTCTGTTCATGTCGAAGCAGGATCTCCATGGTGCCCAACTAGCACCGAGGCAAGTAGGAGCAGCTCAAGGCACCAAAAAGCCGACCTCCAGTCGATGCATGTCAGCAGTATTTCTTCCAAATGCCAGGTCCGGCACCAGTTGTGCCAGCCAGATGGCAAGCAAGCAACTGCTATGCCACAGCTAAGCCTCGGCGACAGCAGGACGCTGACAAGCACCCAGCTGCCAAACTGTGATTGTGGATAGCCTTAATGCTTCTTGATACTCTCTGAGGCATAGTCAAAGCTACACCTAGAAGAGCCAAGCAAAGCCATCCGGTTCCACCATAGCCTCCTCCTGGCACCGAACGTGAAGTTGGAAGAAAGCAAGCTTTTTGAGTTCTGCAGCCTGTTCACACTCTGATCAGTGCACTCACTTTGCCGAGCTGCTCAATTTGAAAGGCTATACGACTACGCCTTTGTCTATAACACGCCTGTTGGCCGCATCACCCACGCTCCAAGCCGCAAGACATCCAGCGGAATTACATTGGCCGGCTACTTGTGAATGTCTGATCATCTAAGCATATATGGAATGTGGATTCTGCAAAGGTTCGAGAGCCTGTGCAACTTCATCGCTCTGGACTTGATTCACAGTTGGTGTCCGGCTGTCAGTTTACGCTGGATGCTCCAAATCTTGCAACTTTGCGAGAGGGAAATGCATCATGCAGGTATGCGTCAGCGGCTTGAATCAGCATTACGGTTCCTGCTTTTGCTCGGCGTGACGCGCATGGCAGGCAATATTTTGTCGATGGCCTATCGCTTGGAAGTCCTTCGGGCTCGCGTGGCTCTTGTCGCAGCTGCACTGGTCCTTGAAAAGAGCACAGCGCAAGTCAACGCTCAGTATGGCCACAGATGGCAATAGAGGCCGCAGAATGAGCAGCTGACACACGACGCTTGGCCAAATATGCAACCTTGTGTCAAGGCATTTGCGCAGGGGATGCACACAGTGGTGAAAACCAAGACATTCAGTTGCGAACCACGACTCCGTGATCGCGCTTTGCAGCTTGTATCTGCGGCTAGCCCAAAGCCCAACTGGTTTGCAATGTGTGCATGCAAAAAGCTTGCCTGCCATCCAATCTTCTTCAACAAAGCCGGCTCGAAGCCAAGCACCAGTTGCTCACCGAAGCCAATCTGAGCAGGCCAGAGGCCCAAGAAGGCCCACGGCTAAGAGCCATTCACGAACAGGTGAACCTGTTCGTCTTCTGCATCTGCCACGACGAAGAAACGCCCCGAGTTCTGCAGGTTAGATCAGACGAACAAGAGCTAAGCGCGGGCGTGACATGCCTGACCTTGAGCATGAGGAACATTCGCCTCAACGCGGCCTCTCAGCAGACTCGTATGAACAGCTCCACGCTGAAAAGCCACATCCTGTGAGCGACCCCGTGGCAGACCTCTGTGCCTTTGGCACCAAGCCTCGCAAATGAGCCGTCGGACATGATCCCGATGTCCTTGCATTCTAGTAAATTAGTACGGATGATTATGGATGATGCTAAATGTCAGCACAGGGAACAATAAGTCTCTGACAATCGAGTTGATCTTTATGTCTGGAGGCAGCCCTGCCTGCATTCAGCAGCTGATGCAAGTCTCCACAATCCATGCCGAAGGGTGGTGGTAGTGGCGGTCGCCTTCTGCCACCTAAATGCTTCGAATGCTGCGCCGATGCCATTCGCAGTCTTCGCAGCAACATGACGAGGTTATCAATGGTATCTGGTATCTGCTGCACAGCGCGGTAACCACAAGCATGCGCCATGCACAGGAGCGCACTGCTTTCATGAACTCCGTGGTTCTCTCGTCCAGATCGTCCACTGTTTCGCCAACAATGACAATCTTGTCCATGTACCACTTGCCTTAATTGGAAGATGTTAATCAATGTTGGGCATGCTCATGCTGGCAGTTCTAGGCCTCTGGTGGGTCGAGAATCGAATTAGAAATTTCTGAATCACTGCCTCCCTCTGAGGTTCCATCTTCTTTCAGGTCTGAGGTAAGACCAGTACCTGCAGCTGACCGGAGTCTAAACATGGGCCGTGAGGTCTGAGGCGGCGCCTGTCACTGGAGGCTTCGACTTCCAGTGCCACCACTTCGGTCTTGGCCGGGAAGGAGGGAAGCCAACGATCCAAGGACTCCCCAACCTAGGGCTTCTCAAGGCATGCAGCTCATCCAGCCCGCATGCAAGCTTGAGCCAGGCAACGAAGTTGTCCTTCTCCCAATCTGAGGTGTCCTGGCCGAGCAAGACATGGGCAACTGTCGGAGAGATTGCGCTGGCAGTCCAGAAATCCCCCGAAGAGCTTTCGCTGCGACAACTGAGCTCTGCTAGTTTTTCGCCAGGCACAAATGCCTGATGCCAGGATCAGCCAATGCCATCCAGTATGTCAATGCCTTCTCAAAATTCTCCAATACTGCCAGAGCACTACCTGCGCCAGAACACCATGCCAGTGCAGCTCCGAACATCCAGTATGTCGATGCCTCCGATCCATGTATGCAACTCGGCGGGACTGTCTTACAACCACATCATGCTCTGCAACAGACTTATCTGGCAGTTGGTGCGGCTACTGCATTCGTAAGTGCGAGGCTGCAAAAAGGGCATGACCCCAGGGACCGCGTTCTCGAGCACGGCGCCTGGAAAGAGTCAAGCTTTAAACCAATGAACTGTAAAATCGGTTCGTTTGCGAAAAGGCAGCCGAGTTTGACAGCCTGGTTAAGGCGAGGGCCTGCTTCCAATTTGCAAGGCCAACCCTGGGCCTCTTTCGCCCCCGTCTGGGTCCTGCATAGCTGAGTTTGGTTGACCTCCTTGGCAGCCTTGTCAATGAACCACTTTTTCTTTCGAAGCTCATTCTCACAAATTCCCAAATGCCATCAGGACCTGTAAGGTTGCAAAGATGGGAAAACTTCTGAACCGACAGAAACTCGATGGAAGCAACTGCACCGCTCACAGCCTGCATCCTTCAAAATGGCGAAGGATTAGCAGGAAACTCAATAGCGGCTCCTTTCTAGCACCGCATCTGCTTATCTGCATGCCACATGTTGCCTCCACCAACTGTTTTTGCGTGCTCATAATCTCCACTGTATGACCGCTGCATGTACTAAAGCACCACATCTCTCCTCATGTATGCATTTGGTTGTAGACTTGGACGAGACATGGCCCAGGGAGATCCCCCAGGCCACTCAGTACATGCTTCGAGGAAGAGGCTGTCCTGGATGCTCACCCCCGAAACCTGCCTTTGCGCATACCATGCAGACTTGAACTACTGCTGCAGTCAGTGTTTCGCAGATCCATGCCTCGGAGTGTCCATGTGCACAGGCTCGGCAGCAATGCAATGCGCTGAAGAGGGCTGCTACGCATGTTGCAGTGCGTCATTTGCATGATGAGGGGCATCGATGTTGTTCAGTTCTGCCGTGCACCGACACAGGATCATTGTTCTTTTCACTTCGCTAAGACTTCATCGGACCTATGCGGACAGTCAAGTCAATTCAAGTCAATGTGGCCAAACAGCACCAAGCTTTCGAGGAAGCAACATCTGCCGCTGAAGCAGGTGGCAATTTCAGCTTGGTGGCTAGTGATACCTTGACATATCCAAAACTTATCCTTTTCAGCAACTGGGACGTCAGGTTCTGCCATGGACTTGGGCTTTGCCCAGGGGCCTGGCACCTCTTGGCCCCTGCAGGCCAACTCTCGGTGGCAGCGCTGCAGATTTGCCAGCTGCCACAAAGCGTTGGGAAGCCTGTGCTTCCCTGACATCCAGCTGTACAAGGCCCTCTTTTTTGACCAGATGCACACGCACCAGTGCTAAGGACGCGAAGACGCCCATTCCTAGAAAAGTACATAAGCAGGCAATGCTTGCTCCTAGGGAGGCTTGCATTGGCCAGGAACGAGATGAATAGAAAGCCGCGCAGGCTGCTTGCACCGCACTGGCGAACAAGTGGACGCTGTTGATGGACAGCTTTTTGGGCACGACCATTTGCATATCATGATCGCTAGCCCTGCAGACAGCCAGCATCGATGCTGGTGGAAGATAGTGTAGAGCTGATGGATTTTGCTCCGCATCCAGCTCAGGTGGCAAAGCAGACTTCTGGGCCTTGACTGTGCCACGGTGTTGCCTTCCCTTGTGCCGAAGAAGGGTCCAGTTGTGCCCTGGACGATCTCTCCCCAGCTCATGAGCAAGGCAACGCATTGCAGAAGGAAGGAATCCAAAGAACAAGAACGAAAGGCCATGAATTGAGGCCTGATATGTCAGGACAGCAGCTTGACATAGGCTAAGCTCATCCCAAAAAGGCGCTTCGAGCTCGTGACGACCGTTCAACAGATCGAGCAGAAACAAAGCCCCCAGTGCAATATCTGCTACCAATAGCAATTCCCAAACCAGCCAAAATGTATGCGGAAGTTCCAGAGATTGAAGCACAGCTCCGCGCTTCCCACTACCGCAACACTGAACTGCAGGAAAGAGCGAGAAGCATGCCAAGGCAACACCTGCTAATGGCAACCAAGCCCAGGGAGGGTTTCCATGCGCGGTGCGGTGTATGGGAGCTGCTGTGCTCTCTAGGACATACTCGGGCTCAGAGAGATCAAGCGGTGATCGCGTAGGCGCCGGTGTTGCAGGTGGGATGTCTGGATCCTGTGTTCGGATCAACAGCGTGGCCAGCCGCTTGCTTCGGTGCCGTGCATCTGCTTCAGCTTCGCATGACCTGAAAAGGGAAAATCCCAGGAACAGCCCTGGGAAGTTGTATGTCGTTGCTGTCAACGCATACAAATCTAAATGCTGAGCTTGCGGCACCGTGTAAGTTGTTGACGGTGACAGATTTGTCATGGACAGGGTGCAGCCTGTGCTAGTGCAGACGGCCGAGGTTTGCGGAGCTGTGCTGGTGGTCTCAGCGGTGACATTGCCTGGGAAGACCCAAAGGCGAAAACTCAGCTCTGTGCACGTACGTAAGCACAAGGATCAACACCGGCAATGAGTGCGGTTTATGCTTCACAGTCTGTCGTAATGTTGGAGCACTTTCATGTGTACAATCTGCACAATAGATTTGGCAGATGTACTTTATGCTGGCAAGGTGCAGCGAAGGCGAGTATTCCTGTCCGCGGGTACTAGCATCTCGGCCTGGCACAGCTATTGCTCATAATTGCACTGAGAAGAACATTTCCAGCTGCTTTTTAGTTAATTAAGAAACTTAGGGTAGGCTGAATGTTGCGCCAGCTTCTTGATTGTTGTCTCCCCACTCCCCCCCCCCTCCCCGGCTAAGAAACTAAGCCACTCTCAGTTTAGCCGGACCCTCGGCGCATCTGCCAACTCCCTGAGCCACCCTTTTGTCTTAGCTCAAGCTTCTAAACTAAGCCCCCCCTGGCTTTGGGCTGACCAAAGGACCCGGTTAAGAAAATACGTGGAGCTTACTTCCTTAGACGGGTCCAAATTTTCTGGATTTGAGGTGCGGCAGTGACGGAACTCGCCCGAAGGGAGACAGAAGGTGCAAACCGCCAATCAGCACACGAGGTGACGGGGTGCCCATTCCTACAGAAGGAAGCGCAGGGATCTGTTTAAGAAACGTAGGCCCGCCGATGACGCGGGCAACGCCACATTCAGCAAACAAATTGGAAAATGCGCCGGATACCTTCAGAAAACGCCAGGAGGGAGTCCAAGGACGCATTCGGAAACGGCCCACATTCGGCAAACGCGGAGGCCACATTCGGAAAACGCCGCAGCCAGATTCGGAAAACACCTCAGCCAGATTCGGAAAACGCCCCTGAAAATGTACACCCAAGTCTGTGTCGCTTACTAGCCTTCGTTTCCGGATTCTATACCCAGGCGAAAAGGAGACAATTCAATATTAGAAAAAGCCCGCATTCAGAAAATGCCGCAGCCAGATTCGGAAAAAGCCGCAGCCAGATTGGGAAAACGCCCCTGAAAACGTACGACCACGTCTGTCTGGGCTACTACATTCTTCCTCCCTCGTTTCCGGCTTCTGCCCGTGCGCGTGTGAGAAAAAAAGAAACATCAACATTAGAAGAAGCCAGATTCGGAAAACGCCGCAGCCAGATTTGGAAAACGCTGCAAGCAGATTCGGAAAACGCCATTGAAAACGTACGACCACGTCTGTCTTGGCTACTACACTCTTCTTCCATCGTTTCCAGATTCTGCTCGGGCCCAAAAAAATTGCTACATTAGAAAAAGCCAGATTCGGAAAACGCCACATCCAGATTCGGAAAACGCCTTGAACACCTAATTTGTCTGTCTCGCCTATTACATTCTTAGGTTTCAGATTGCCCGGCCGAACTAAGATTCGGACAACGCCGTGAAAACGTATTTGTCTGTCTCGTCTAGTACATGCTTTGGTTTCAGAATTCTGCCCGTGCCAAAGAAAATTCAACATAATTTGAAAAAGCCACATTCGGAAAACGCCGCAGCCACGGTCAGAAAACGCCGCTGAAAACGTACGACCGCGTCCATTTCGCCTACTACACTCTTCTTCCATCGTTTCCAGATTCTTGCCCGTGCCCCAAAAAAAGAAAATTCAACCAGCCTCACTTTCTCAAATGCGGAACCTGAAAAAGTTCTGCTTCAGGATCTTGAGCCCCTCAACCCTTGACCCTGAGTCAGTTTAGAGGAGTGTGAATTCCCTCACCCTTCCAAGTCGGGCACTGTTCTCCGCCGATGCGTTCTTCTCGCTGGTGCTTACTGGAGGGGCGTAAGACATGTACTCAGGGGTAAGAAACGTGATAGGGAATATTATGTGGATCCAGTCTCCCCCTACCCTAAACCGCAACCCATACACCCCAACCCACATGCCCTAACTCATAAGCCCTAAACAGATGAGCAGACTCAACAGCTTGCCACGCCTAGAAAAATGCGTTCATCAATTCAAAAAAAAGAACTTGGGGGCTTCACGTGGTGTTCGGACTTCTGTATGACAGCTGATTACAGTGTAAGCTGTGTTTTTCAGGAGTGAAGCTGCTTGCCCTAAGGGTCCGGTCCAAGTGCCCAATTATTGCAGACTTGGGGCTTGGATGATAGTAATTATACTACAGGCTTTGGGGGTAGGTTTGTGATGCTTAGTTACTTGGACCCTTTGGGTCAGGCTTCAAGGTCTGAATTCGGCTTGGGCACTGCGCAAGAGTGGAAGGTTGACAGTATCCGGCTATCTCCAAACACGACCAGAAACGTTTTCAACAGGCACGGGCACCAAACAACACATAGCGCATGAGCATGGCAATCCCTAGATTGAACAGATAGAAACCCGATTTCGAGGCCACATAAGAGTTTCGGGGTTTAGGGTTTCGAATGGTTTTACGACGTGCCCTGGCTTCACTGACCTCCGTGCCAGTTTTTGAAGCCGCAATATAACTCCATCACCTACCTATCCTACCCGTAACTTTTCAAACACTGGTTGCTGCTTACCCATTCAGATTACTGGTGTCTGAAGACCGTTCTATGGATTAGAGCTTTGAGTTACTGCCGCTTAAGAGGGAACGGTTCCCTATAATGATCCTATATAGACTCTAGAATGGTGCCAAGACTGGGTCGCAGCGCTGGCACGTGGAGCGTTCTGCGAATTCTCTTTAGGATCGACGGCCGTCTCACGAGCGCTGGCACGTGGAGCGTTAACAGCATTCTGTTAGGAATCGACGGCCCTTTCCCTGTCTTCTGCGGGCGGCAGCGCTGGCGCGTGGAGCGTCCTAGGAATTCTGTTGAGAATTCTGCTTGGAATCGAGAACCCTCTCGCTGTTTTCGACGGGTGGCAGCGCTGGCACGTAGAGCGTCCTAAGAACTCTTTTTGGAATCGACGACCCTCTCGTTGTTTTCGACGGGTGGAAGCGCTGGCGCATCGAGCGTTCTGAGATTTCTGCTGGGAATCGACGTCCGTCTCGCTGTTTTCTGTGGGCGGCAGCGCTGGCGCGTGGAGCGTCCTCAGAATTCTGTTTGGAATCGATGACCCTCTCGCTGTTGTCGGGGTGAGGCGGTGCAGTTTTTGACTCCCGCTCTACTGTTCGCTGCTGTTTTTGAATTTGGCACTCCTGTTTTTGATTTTGGCGCCCTTGTTTTTGAATGCCGCCTTCGTGTTTTTGGCTTTTGTTTGCTGAATGCTGCCGCTGTTTTCTGAATGTGGCTTCTCTCCCGGTGACGCAGGAAAATTACAGTGCACTAGGCTGAGCCCAGGAGTAGGCTAAGCTGCGAAGGGCTCTTATACAGGATTCGCACTATAAGAGACGAGAAAAAAAACAGGTTGCTGAGACGCTGGAGTTGGCTCTGCCTGCCTATGACAGATCTGCAGGACGAGGTTTTGCGAGAGCATCGCCCGACTCCAACAACTACAAGTGTGGACCAAGATTTAGAAAGCTTGACTACTTAAAGCTCCGCAGGAATGCATGCAGCTGCGGTTGCAAGATTCTAGGGAACGCTCCTGTGAAACCTGAAACGGCTTGCAAAGCAGGCACCACCGGCACCACCGTGGAGGAGGCTAACCGAATGTAACCGACAGTCGTAGCATGTCGTAGCTGATGATTTCTTCCAGTCACCCAATCCCATCCCTCTTCGCTGATTCGCTGACATGCAAGATGATTCAAGAGAATGGAGGCGTGTGACACAAGCGTGCTGCTGATGGTCGACAGTTTACGCGGGTACATCCCCTGCTGGCACAGTCTTTGTCAGTTGATGCTTTCAAGAGGGAGCAGCTCGAAAAACGACAGTCTCAAAACCCTCCCGCAATGCTGGTGACCGTAGTCCGCGCACAATCGCACACTTCATCACAACACCAAAAACTCCGCATGAACCCCGTGCCAGCTGAAGGGAAAGCTACATGCTTTGCAAACAATGTCCGAGGAGACAAAGCGCTTGGAGTCAGGATACTTCACAGCAAAATCCCAGAAAACGAGGCAATCGGACTGCATCAGCCAGTTATAAGACTCGCCAGCAATTCAGATGTGGTCGTAACAGACTGCGTCCGCAAAGGCAACATCGTTTCTTCACCTCAACTTCTGTGAAGTGACGCAACTCAGTCTACAGGAGACGTTGCTAACGACTGCTTGCCGAGGTTCAGACCGAATCGACCGCTTGTTTGTTCCCAAACGCAATTGGCGTGATATGCGAAATAAGGACCATTGCAATCGCAGCCTCTGGGTACGACGTCATCTGAAGAAAAACTACTGCTATTGGCTGCATTCTGACCGGCCTGGAATTCCAGCGGAGAAGTTTGGCCTTTGCTTAGAACACTTGGAACAATAAGCCTAAAGGTATTATGCAACCAATTTCCACCTCTGTTCACCATACTGACCATACTCGTTTCCGCAGCCACACTTCCCTCGCAACCTGCAGACGGACGCACAGTGAACCATTGAGCTTTCAAGAAGTACTCCAGAAAGCCTTGCTCTGCGAGCCCCTGAGTCACCGACTGAAGCCCGAAAAAGCGGAACCCAAAACAGGCATCGGCCTTCATGACTCACCCGGTGCCAGATGGTGCCACAGTGACATCGGATGCTCGTCAGCAAATGCTTGCGCTCAGGCCGGCACACATGACACCTGTGAAAGCAAATTAAGTTCCTTACGTGCTCGTAAAGTTGCAAAATGCCAAAAAGCTTGCATACAGGATCGTCAGCCTCCTGACAGTCCATGTCAATGTGGAAACAAGCACAGTGCAGTGTCAGATGTAACTTAGTTGTTTTGGACTCTTTGCTCAGGCTGTGCGTTCAGCTTAGCTGAATGCCAGACGAAGCTGTGAGATGCATATGCGTGCGCAGCATGCGCCTGCCCAAAAAGTAACAGGGCCTTTGCTACTCGCCAGAATCTCCCACGGCCGGGACCAGAATACCAAAGCAACTAAAAATTGTTGACCTGGAAGGAAAGGACTATCAATGCGTAACTCTGGCTGCCTGATACCGAGAAAGAACTGGACAACCTACTCAGTGACGATGCATGGAATTATTGGAATCGGCATCGGTGACAGAAATGCACAGTGCAACAGAAGAGTCAGAAGGCTGACTCGGAAATGGTTATTGTGGCCAGCGGCGCTCACGAGCTGGATCTGGACGACCTGTTGCGATCATGACTTCAAACCAGCCGAACGATGCCATCTGCGGAATTGACTAATTCAAATATCAGTCACAAGCCTCCCAACGCACCAGGCACAGATGGGCTTCGAAGAGTGGGCAAGGATCCCATTCTTGCCATGCCCGAGTGGGGTGCAAGAGGCGGCAGAGAGACAGAAGGCGCTGAGTCCTGCCAGGTGCTCTTCAGGCATGGTTCATACTGGATTGGGCAGAAAACACGCACCTGCATGATGACTGCAGTCACGTTCTGAAAAAAGCTTCGATGTTCCGGAGACATGTCCTTGGGCATCTGCGACGTTCAGCTGGCTTTTTCTGGTGCGAGTCCACATGAATGCAAGCTACATACCTGCAGAGGTCCAGCATGCTGCGCAATCAAACCAAGGCACCATCCAATCAGCGCTGGTTTCTCTTCCAGCTGCAATAGTCATCGCCATAGGGTCAGCTTTCACGTCCTGATTCCATGTTGTTGACTACTGGCAGCTGGCACAAAACTGTTGCGTTCTGGCAGATGTCATGGGTTTAAGGCTCAAAGAATGCTTTATTGGTCAGCCTGCTTTCGCTGTTGCAATGGCCACTTGGGCTTGTTTCATCGAGGGACAGCAACCGTAGAGAGGTTGTCCAGCATTTGCAAATTGGAAAGGCAACTTGGGCAAAAGATCCTCCTCACTCTTTGCCACTACAGTGTTCGCTCAGATTCTTGTTTTGCTCGGACATCGTGGCTCTCACCAGATCTCAAGCTACTTGATTACGCTTTGCAGTCTCTGCACTACCCATAGGAAAGTAGCTGAACTTTAGATATAAAACGTGCGTGGAAGCACAAGGGATTTAGAACCCTAGTGGAAATCAAAATTTCAGCTCCTTATCAGGACTATAGGAAACAGACATTTCAAACTACTTCAGTGGAACTTGTACACGGCCCCATCCAGCGATGGCTGCATGGGCAGAGTGCACCACGTTGCGAAGGTGAATAAACCAAAACGCGCCGTGGGGAATAACACAAAAATATGAGATAAATGCGTTGACACCCACGTCTTTGACAGGTCAAGTTTTTGGGCTACGTTGGTGCCCATGATTTGTAGAGGGACACTCCTTTCACCCGGTGTCCAGGGTCACCAGTCCCTAAGTCTCTGCAGTCTGGACAGCCCCGTGGGAAGATCCGTGAAAAGCGACCCCGAATATCCTGGAAGTATCATTAAATGTGTCCTTGGAAGGATGCCGCGCCTCCGGCAGCCGGAGCTCAGAGGCCCTGAAGATGCTCTTAAAATGATTCACACGCAGCATGACTTGACGTGTTCAAAATAGCCGTGTTCGATGGGGACATCTGATGTTGAATCGCAAGAAGTCTTCTGTGAAGGGGAGTAATCGCTGATTATGCTGGGACTAGGCAGTTGGACCAGCCTGTGGCGTACTCAAATGGCTACTGCTACTCTTCCCAGCGGAATGTTCAATATTCATCAACATTGTTCCGAATCATCCTGCACCCTTTGGCACATGGCGCGGATGGCTTACATGAATGAGGACACATACATGGATTTCATGATCTCCGACAGCCACGGATTGTTAGCTTGTCAGGTTCTGGTTTTGTCAGGCAGCGTTCCGGTAATTGAGGTTCTCAAGAAATCATTTTGAAATAGGCTATGCTCCTTGTGCAACATGTAGCAATTCTTCGTTTGCAGTGTTGGTGTACCATGCAGGCAAATTATAGCCAAAGTCCTAAGCGATGTTGTTTGCCAACCAACTGCCAAGCCTGTGCCCCTTAGCTTCCAGTTTTGCGCGGTCTTGCCCTCTGAGCTCCTGGCAGGGCAAGTCAAGAACTGCAAGAACTGCAAGAACTGCAAACACCAGTCTTCCGTTCCACATGCCCTAAGCACCAGCCTGAGCTTTGCACAGGAAGCCCTGCAGCTCCTGCGCCTGCGGATATGGTGCCGGGCAAGCTTTCTCCAGCACACGCAGGTCCGGCCTGTGATGACAAAGCCTTCTCCAGTCGATGCAGCCGCAGCTCCACAGACTCTTTCGCTGCCTTATCTGCCTCTGAGAGCTCTTTCAGAGCTTCATGCCTGTTGCCATGCTGCAAGTAGCGCGTTCAGGGAACGACCATGCTCACTGCTCACAGCGAGCTTTGCACCTGGCACGCAGCTCGCAAGTGACCTTCTGCAACTCGTCCAGTTGGGATTTGCCATCTCGAAGCTGGATCCCCAGCTCCTGGAAAGCAGTCGAAGAAGTCTATGATTCGTCCAGGTCTCAATTTCGAAGACTGCAACAAGCGAACTCTCCTGAATGCTCTTCAGTACCGCTTCCAGCTGCGAACCGGTTTGCGCATCAGGAGAATGCCGCAAAGTGCCCTCAACCCGACTTAAACGTCCATCCATGGCTGTATGATGAGTCACACGAGCATTCAGCTCACTGGCAACCTGCTGCTGCATCTCCTGGAAGCTTCGCTGAGACTTTTGGAGCTGAAATGACTGCTCCGATGCTAAAGATGTCAAGGATTGCTCCAGTTGCACAAACCGCTGCTCGGCTGACCGCAAGGACGCATCACGTTCATCGCGAAGCGTTTGGATTGTTGCTTGCAGCTCTTGCATGGAGTGCACGAAGTTGGAGGAGCCTTCCGAAGTACGCATGTCCTTCATCCGGTCCTCCAGTGCTTTGCAACGCAGGCTGCAAGCAGCCTGCTGCGCAATTTGTTGTGCCAGTTGTGCCTCAGCCTTGGCCACGGTCTGCTTGAGTTCTTCAATTAAACCGCTTGTGGACTTTTTGTGTTCCCCTTGCTGGTCCAGGAGCTTTTGGAGGACAACAAGCTGCTGAGAATTTTTTTGGCTGGCTTCAGTCACCAAGCCTTCGGCACTGCTAATACGCTGAGCGAGAGCTGCATGATGCGCAGCTTGGGATCTAATCTGATTTGCCAGTTCTGAGTGGGAAGTAGTCTGAAGTTCGAGCATCTGCTTCTGCTTTTCATGCGAATCAAGGAACCCCGCAACTTTGCACTCCAGAGCATCCAAACGAGATGCCATGGAGTTTTGCTTGGTCTCATGGGTAGCATGGGAAGCCTGCTGTCCTTCTAGGGTCTTCTTCACCTCATCTAACCTAGCCATCTCACGCGAAAGCAGACGCGCCTGCAGAGTCTCTAATTTTGCGTTCATGGCCTCAGGAATTTGCTCCCAAAGCTCCTTGACCATTGCCTCTGACCTTGACGCCACATCGATTGACATAGCAGCCTTCGTCTTCAGTGCTGCCACTTCATCCCCGAGCGCTCTGACATTGTCCACAAAGGCTGATGTCACCGCAGATTGCTCTCTCAAAAAACGATGTTGGAGATCCTGCATAGGAAAAAACATGCATAAACTTTACAACACGCTGCGCATCATCTAAGTAGGCTACAAATCAAAGCAAACCCTTTTCAAGCCTGTAGATCCAGGACTGACCGACGACTCTGTGCACCTCACACTAAACTGTTTTCTGATGCTCAAAGATTGGTCACGACGCATGTACCACGCATATCACACCGGCAAAGGGACAGCAGGTGTGAGAACGAATGCCTGCATCTGCTCGCCATGGTTCCCTTCCTGTCAGCGAGCCGGCCGACATCAAGTGCAAGCCTGCCATTGAAAATGGCCTAACTGTAATAGCAACATGGCGGTGACATGTCGTATCACTTTGATCGCAGTTCTTGTTCCCGCTAAGCTAAGCAGCATGCTGTCCCTGACGTCTGGCGCTTGAGCCAATCTTGCCTTACTTGTTCCCGCTGAGCATTAACATGCTGTCCCTGAGGGCTTGCGCTTGAGCCAATCTTGCATTACTTGTACTGTTGTCTGCGGCTTGCTTGATATCAAGACCAAACAGCTACAGTACCTGCATGCTTTGTCCGGCCTGAGCGTGGTTGCCACGCTCTTCCGGCAAATCCTTCATGAAAATGCAACATGAAGCGGACAGGAAGGCAATTGACAGAAAGGAGCCCGACTGGATCGGCTGGGCGATCCGCGTAGCATCCCATCCTGCTTTTGCGGCATACTGCTTGCATGCTTTGAAGACGTGCCCTTGGACTAAGACGGTGGCAAGCTGGGAACTGGGCGCAGAACTGCTCGGCGACCTAGAAGAATGCACTTTTCCAGATGATTCGGAAGACTCAAGGACTCGGCAGGTCTGGCCAGGCCTTTACCGAAGATCTGCTCGCCTCCCACCACTTTGCATCGAACCTTATGGTGCCAAGGTACTGGTCAAGATCCAGGTGGTCACTTGTCCATGCCTCGAACTCCTCACCAGCAAAGTCATAGACCTGGATGCCTGAAGAAGCATAAAACCAAGATTTTGCCATCAAACCTGCGAAGCCGGGCTTCATGCCCTCCACATCCGCCGTCCCATTGCTTGCATCTGACGTCCCAATACCCTGCGTGGGGACACATCTGGCTTGACTGACAAGCTGGAAGGCATACTTACACGCCAGGAAGCCGCATGCAAGGCTACATCCAAATCAGCAGAGCCTCCCGGGAACATCCGGTCACGCATGCTTGCATTTCTGTGCTGAGGACCCTGCTTGGATCCCATGACCCCAGCGGTGCCTGGTGCAACCGGATCGTGCTGAAACTAGCAACATCTGGGCTTTCCATCCGATTTTCTCCACAGGACAGAGCTGCAGAACTGCAGAGCTGCAGCCTTGAAAGCAGCACAGCGGACTCTCGCCATCCACTGCGATGTCAGCTCCACCCTGACCGAGCAAAAAGCCCCAAGCTTACCTCTGCTCCACGTGCCACTGGAAAAGGCATGGCTCCGGCTGTTTTCGATAACTTGGAAAGGCGCACAATCGCGTCCTGCAAGTCTGAAGACGAAACTTCAAAGGCAGGAGTGCTGCTGGCACAGCATTCACTTCTACTGATGACCTCGGATGGCGCACTACCTGTAACAGCTAACAGCTAGGCTCTCCCGCATGGTCCATTCCGAAAAAAGGTGTTCACCACAATTTTCAGGACAGTTGTTTTTCCCCGGCTGACCTTCTTTCGTTTCTCCTCGTCCTCCTCGGCCTCCAACATTTCCTTTGTTGCCTTTGTCATCCTTGCCTTCCGCGCCGGCTTGCCCGCTGGTGCACGAACCGTGCCCGTTCCTTGCCCCTTCACCTCTTAACAACATCGCAAAAGCTCTAAAACGTCCCAGCGGTATGTCATGCGGTCAGGAGGCCCGACGCAACGCTATCGCTGCAGCGGATCGACAAACAGCGGCTACGTCGGCATAACTCACCTTGCACAGATGGCCAAGACAGGCTTGCAATCCCTTTCACTTTGTAGTTTTGGGCATGAAGATGCCAAGCCTGGCAGAGTGCCTCCAGCACCTTCGCGTCAGGCTGCAGCAGATGACTCCCGAGGTGGCTTTGCATCAAGGTGAGGACGTCCTGGCAGTCCAGATGGCTTGCATGTCAGACTTGGCATGTACACGTGTATGGTGTGCGTGCACAATTCTATATACGTGCTACCCCCTCGCTCCCCCGTAAAAAAGGCCTATTTTTTCGGATCCATATTGAAAACCAGTAAGCCATGATTCCAGTATTTGGGTATCTGGTTTACTTAATCTTAGGGATTTCCATGAATAGACAATTGATCGAAAACCAGGAGCCCAGGATTTCGGTATCAGTTCCAATTAAGTTCCATAGGATATTATGTGAAATATTGGGAACCAACACCATCCACAAATGTGTTTATCTTAATTGATTTCGGCAGATGCTAAGTAAGTTCTATGTAGAAGCAATGTACCATTCATCAAGATGTGGAATGTGAATCAAACGTTTACCGTTTTTACTTGGACTTTGTAAGAACCAAGGACTGTCCAAGAATTAGCAAAAATGTCAGTTCAACTTGACTACGCAATTTCCTAACGAAATGTCCATAAAGAATCCAGCTCCATCTACGAACGTGTGATCTGAGTCTGGTAGCTTGCTTGTTGGAGACTATGATCGCGTGTAAAATCAGGGCTGCGTAGATGGTTCCCCTCATATACCCGCAGTTTATCCTGGTATCCTGGATTCTTGGTTTTTGATCTGGTCACAATCTGATCACAGCTCATACAGACATAAACCCTCTTATAAGTAGAACGGGTACCGAAATCGTGGACTAATGTTTTTTTGGATTTCTGTCTGATCTCCGTTCGAGTAGAGGAACATCAGAAAAATGCCGCTTTCTCCGTTTGAGGGAAGTGAAGATTCTCAGGCATCCCGTGTTTCTGCGGGCTCTTAGGAAACCATCAAATGCACCAAGGAGACCCTTTTTACTGCTCAGCAAAAGACAAACTGAAAGTCTTGGTAACATTTAGGAGTTGCTACTTTGCTACATCCTATGTGACTTCTTGAAGTGTTGCCCATGCCATTTGGGCCTTGGGCCTTTAGACGGCGGCAAGAAAGATGCATGACTCCAACTGCCACTACAAACCCACGGCCTGACATGACTGAACTGCTGGAGAAGGTGAGATTTCTTCACTCCTCTTTGATGCAACCACTTAGGGCCACATCACTTTATAAAAGACCCTTCTACGGCAGGTTTATTACTACCTGCCCTTGCGTGCGGCGAGAGAACACACAAGCTATGCGTGGTGCACCGGGAAAAACTTCGCCCAAATCGGCTCTGACGCATTGCAAGCAATTGGCACACATTGCTCGCTGCTGCACGTCTGCGACGTTGCNNAGGCCCCAACAGTTTGGGTCAGTGTGAACCCTGTTTCTCCCATCGCATGTGCAGAAGAATGGTCCTTTGTATGGACCTTGCCTGATCTCAATGCGTGCTGGCATTGGCGGACCAGGATCAGGAGTGAGCCTCAGGAATGTAGGCGCTGTTTGCATGCTAGCATCCGTACAGGCCGGACGCTGCATTTGCTGCAGCATTGGCCCGTGTCCACCTGGGATTGGCCTCGGCAACGATGAGGCGTCTCGGCCAGGCGCCTCACCTGATGAGGCTGGCGCTTGCTGCTGCGCCCGTGCTTGCTCACCTGCGTTGTTGAGTTTGGCTAGCGCACAGCAAAGCGCTCTGCTTTCTCAGGTGGAAGTGGCACTGCAGGAATTTGTGTGGCACAGAGACCTCAGCTCACGGCACTCTGCTTTGGTGAGGGTTCGTGCTTGGCTCTTGGACTTAGCCTTGGGTCTTGCTGCTTTAGAGCTGCTGCGAAGCGCTCGCAAGCGCACTGCGTTTGAACCAGCTCTTACACAGGAACAAGCTAACTCCCAAAATGCTACTGCGCAAATCGCACGTAGAGCATTATAGGGGCTCCTTGACATCCTCAATGTTTGCACTTTCGGCAACACCACACAGACACTGCACCAGTACCGCAGCTTCGTGCGAAGGCACGGCTTTAACGGAAAGCGCCGCTACCTTTCGGTCCGGGTCTTTAAGGCTCCACAAAGCAACGAGTTCTTGGAGCCTGGCCTTTGGCAGGGGTTTGGTCCCAATGTCTGCTAACTGGGACTCACCTGGTTCGTGCACAGCCTTCATTAAGCCTTGGGAAACCTGTTCCTTGAGCCAACTACTGCGCAACCTTAAGTGGCGTGTTCGCCAGCTACCTGTTGAGCCGTTTAGGAGCTGCATGGCA